TTAGTGTCTGATGCTGAAATGATAAGCAGCAGTATGATGAAAACATCCAGAACAATAAGGGATTAGATGTCAGCTGCACCATCTGGAGGGCAGCAGATCCCGTAAATAACGCTGCTCACTTCTCTCGCAGCGCGTGGCGTGTTTTCCTCTGACAACCAGCGGCGTGTTTGCATCTGAAACTGAAACCTGTCGGTAGAAAATCTCTCTCTGGTTTCTCTCCTCAGCAGGTTGACGGTTTTCGGCCCCTCCTCGGCGTCTCAGCGGGGGAGTCTGCAGTCACAGGACTCCGTCTGACTGCTGTAATCTGACTTGGCTAATCTCATCTCAGCGCTGCCAAATTACCTGGGTGTCTCCAGCCAATTAGAGCCCATCTGCAGGCGGGGCCAGGGTGGGGCTCTGCAGGGGCCCAGAGGGCCCTGAGAGTTCAGGGAAGGCTCCACTTTCATTCCAAACCTGCTGTAACCATCAGTCTACAGACATGATGAGGAGACGCAGATTATATAACATTTGTCTTTAACCCTTCAGCGAGGACGTCCTCTGCAGAGACGTCCTTCTGACCCTGAGCTGGAGAGCAGGGGCCAACCAGCAGATTCATAAAGTGGTTGCAGACCAGCCGGCGTCTCTGAAAGCAGGACTTCAGTCCGTCTGCTGAATGACGGCAGCAATGGCCGCCAAACAGCAACTGCTGCTACCTGGGGAAGGAGGCCGGCTCACCTCCAAACCTTTTTAGAATAATATCAATATTCACCTTTTAAAACATCTAAATTTAAACCTTCCTTATTTGACTTGGTTCTGGTTCTGGTTCTGGTTCTGGTTCGGACCCGTTAGCGGACTCAGCAGCTTGCATGAGACTAAACTACCTGGCAACAGAATGATGACATCAGAGGTAAATAAACTGGAAGATGGGCCTTCGACAGCTTGGTTCTCGTCAACTTAATCACCTTAGCTAAATTAGTTTGAAATTAGCCCCCCCCCGGCAGTCGTTTTCACAGCTTTATGGATTAGACAGATTACTCGTCTGAAACTCTGGCTTTCTACCCCCCCAGTGTGGACAGGAACCTAAAGCAGGGGGTCTCAGGTTCTAGGAAACCTTTTTAGTGTAGACTCTGTTCCTGCTGAGTCATGGTTCTTCTTCATCAGGTGTTTCATGTCATCATTTTAAACGACTGAGCAGGAAGAAACATGATCAGGAGCTAAAATGAGGAAAAAGTTTTTCAGTTTTAACCAAAACAAGCAGAAGAAAAGAATCCAGCTGTGAAGTTTTTCTACCTGCATGGAGACAGACTGAGCACCAGAAGACAGTTTAACGTTTAATCGACATTATGCTCCTCAGATTAGCCTCTAAGCCCATAAAACAGGCAGTAAAATGTTGCAGCAACATAAAATATCCTGCATTCCATCAAAGTGACCTTATATGGGCGTGCATGACCCAAGTACAGAGGCCTTAGTCCTCTATGGGGCCGACCCGGGTTCAAATCCAGCCTGTGGGGTTAGGGCCAGACTGTAGAGGACAGACTGGATGTAAAGAACAGTCTGGATGTAGACTGAATGTAAAGAATAGACTGGATGTAGAGAACAGGCTGGATGTAGACTGGATGTAAAGAATAGACTGGATGTAGAGAACAGACTGGATGTAGAGAACAGACTGGATGTAGACTGAATGTAGAGAACAGGCTGGATGTAGACTGGATGTAGAGAACAGTCTGGATGTAGACTGGATGCAGAGAACAGACTGGATGTAGACTGGATGTAGAGAACAGTCTGGATGTAGACTGGATGTAGAGAACAGTCTGGATGTAGACTGGATGCAGAGAACAGTCTGGATGTAGACTGGATGTAGACTGAATGTAAAGAATAGACTGGATGTAGAGAACAGACTGGATGTAGACTGGATGTAGAGAACAGNCTGAAGCCAGAAGGAGGAGGAAGGAGCTCCCATCATGGCTCAGCTCCAAGCTGCTGGTTACTTCTGAGAAAGTTGTGGGTCTGAACCCTGAGAGGAGGTGAAGGCGTCTCTCCTCTCACCAGAGGAGCCGTTATTAACAGCATTACATCATGCAGCGCCTCCTCCTCTCCTCCTTCTCTTTAAAGCTGCAGCTGATCACAATCCTGCTCTTTTCAGAGTCAGGAAGCTTTTTCTGCACAGAAAGACATGAAATCTGCAGCAATGATTAAAGAATCTGCAGGTTGGTGTTTCTCTGCAGCCAGCGGCTCCCTGCACACCCGGCCTCTGGAGCGGATCTAGACAAGCGGCTCCCTGCACACCCGGCCTCTGGAGCGGATCTAGACAAGCGGCTCCCTGCACACCCGGCCTCTGGAGCGGATCTAGACAAGCTTTTCTGACCCCTGCCCTCCCTCTCAGTTTGCTGCACGCCTGCTTATCCTAACGAGGCTCTTGTGAAGTGAGAACTCACCAAATCCCACAAGCAGCAGAGCTGCAGCTCAGAGTTTCTCAGAGTCTGAGCGCCGCAGACCAAAATAACCCGTCATTTTCACACCTCCTCTGAGATGCATGCCATCACAGAAGAGGAAGGAAGGAGACGGACCGGCCTCAACAACAACATCCTCATCATCATCATCATCATCATCATCATCGTCATCATCATCATCATCATCATCATCTAAGCGCTCTAATGTCATCGACTTCTCTGAGAAGTTTCAGCCACCATGATTGGCCTCAGAGCGCCGTTCAATCAAAGGTCCAACAGCGTCTGTCATCCAACGTTCTTCTCTTCCTCTGAGGACATTTTCCTTTTCTGTCTGCTGTGAAATGTATCACCATTCTCACCATTCTCACCATTCTCACCATTCTCACCATTCTCACCATTCTCACCATTCTCACCATCATCACCATCAGCAGCAGATCAGGCGAGGCTGAGATTCTCTCAGCTCAAACTTGTGAACGTTTCTGGTGCAGCAGAAGAAGAACATGCTGCAGATTAACAGTCACGTCACTTTGATTTCAGATTTATCAGCTTGTTTTCACCATCAGGTGGAGATCACTGTGGAGAACCCAGTTAACCTGAAGGTTCTGAAGGTTCTGATGGTTCTGATGGTACCAGAACCTAAACACAGGAAGCTCTCTGTGGGTTGGACTCATTCAGAGCTCAGAGCAGAGAAGCAGTCAGCAGGAGGAATTACATGATGCTGCAGCACAGAACCGCACAGGAGACATTCCACAGGACACCTTCCACAGGAGAC